CCCCCACGGGTGGTCCTGGAGCACGGGCACAACCTCACGTGCAAGCGGAAGAATTTGGCCTGGAGCAGGCAGGGCGATGGGGGGGGCAAGGGAGGGCCTGGAGGAGCTGCTCCTGGCCTTCGCCCTGGGCTGTCCCCCCCTCACCCGAGGGTGAGCACGCTCCTGAGTGCGCACCTACCCTATACCCAGACGCTCACCCAGTAAACCTGGGCACAGAGTCCAAGCAGGTGGTGACATGCAGGACTTGCACCTCATTGCATGCTTCAGCTTAAAGGTGATTAAAGGTGCATGTCCATAAACATGAAGGAACAGAGGCGACTTGTTATCAGGTGCCAGGAAGAGCCACTTCGGATTGTGCAAGACTCATTATGGGATGCATAGGAGAACTAAAGGGATCAAGGTGGATTGAGGTGAAGCAACTGTGGGAAACAGAGGGAGGGGGGAGTTTAAAAGGGACCAGCCACATGTGACCAGGGTGCTGGTTGGTGCACTCGCCTGGCCCTGCCCTGCAGCTCATGAGCGCAATCAATCAGGCCTGTCTTCTCATTAAACTAACTCCATTGCTACCTACTTTCCCAGGCAACAGGGCTCTGGGATCCGCGTGCACGCATATGCAAAACTCTGAGTGCCACCAACTGGAGTGGGACCACTGGTCACGGGGCCGGTGAGCACTGGAGAGACTGGAGTGTGCGCACACAGTGTGGACATGCACAGTCACGTGCAATCACTACCAAACGTCAAGTCAGCTCAGCCCACGAGCAGGATAAGAGCCCTGGGAGCGAGGCAGCAGAGCAGGTCTAAGTCTGGGCTGGATCCTGGAGAGACCAGGCATATATGCAGATATATTTTCCACTAACAGCTTTTCAGCCTGATCAGGTGGAGGGGAACAGGATGAGGCCACTGGTGCCGTTTGTGCTTGCTTGCCTGGCTTGCTTTCTCTCTGCATTGACCTGCGTGGCTGGCCAGGTATGCAGGCAGCGGGCCCGCGCCGCCATCAGGAAGGGACGTGCAGCCTCGCTGGAGCTGGGGTTGGAGCTGCAGCAGCCTCGCATCCATTCGGCAGCTCCCCCCACCAAGCCCTGGTGCAGCCTTGCAAGCAGCAACAGGCAAGGACTGCGAGTGGGGCCTGAGGAAAAGTACAGAGTAATAAGGGAAAAGTGTTGCAAAAATCATCTTGCATCTTTGCACCATTCGCTGCGCTGGGACCCCCAGGGCAGGACGGTCACATAGGCAGACTATCACTGCACCTCCCAGGCAGCCACAGGACAGGTTTCCTTCTCCCTTTCCTCTTTCTCTCCTTTGTTTTATTCTTCCCCAGCAGCAGCTTTTGCCCTTACAGCCATGTCAGCCCTCAGCTGCCAACACAACTTAATACACCCGAACCTCCCTCAACATCCTTTGCACAACAGCAGGGTCCCTGAGCCCAGGACAAGCCCCCAGCTCTCCCTGAGTCCTGGGATGGCCCCCCAGCTCTCCCAAGCCCCGGGGGGCTGACGGTGATTTCTCCATCCACTTGCCAGCTTGCTTTAAAGCTGCAGGGGGTCTCTGCCTCCTCTGTCACTGCCCTCAGCCTGCCCACCAACTCCTGCCCCTTGCCGTGCCAGCTCTGTTCCTGGCTGGAGCTGCCACATACAAAACGGGCGGCACACCCAGGTGGTGCTGGCAGCAGCGCACTGCTCTGCGCCTGTTTTGCAATGCCCAAAGCGACAAGGGCCAGGCAATTCCCAGCACCTGGAATTTCCAGCACTCCAGTCTTAGCAGCAGCAGAAACATATCGTTCTTGCAGACTTCAGCCTCTTGAGTCCAGCAGGTCAGGAAACCCTGGCCCTCCTCTCCTCCACATCCCCTTGGCCTCACCAGCCTCGGTGGCCGGAACATGAGGAGGAGGAGGAGGTTCGCTGTTTGAAGGAATCCCCGGTTACTGGAACTGCCCTTGTCCTTGCTTGTGTACCAAGACCGCCGCAGGATCAGTCGTGGCCCTGTTTCAGACGGGTCTCCGCCACATCCCAGCTGCAAGTCAAATGTCTGGGGGACACTGAGTCTGGGACTCTCCTCTGGCCTCACGGCCCTACTCCACCCAGAAGGGAGAGGACGAGGTGCCCAGGGTTCCTGCCTGCTCCCCGCAGGTGCTGGCGTGTCTCTCCACCTCCGCCGTTCTGAACCGGAGCTCGCAGATCGGGCACGACACCCAGGCATCAGGGGACAAATCCACCCACGGGGAGGAGGACCAGTCTGCTTCTGGGACAAAGTCTTCCTCCCCACAGCTGGAGGCATGCGCAGGAAGGAGATCCATGCTGAAACAACCTGTGGTAAGGGGAGGTAACGTGGGTTTCCCAAGCCACCTGGATCTCTGGCGATACAGAGAACGGCTCTGCGGTCAGAGCAGGGTTAGGTCCAGGATACAGGCCCTCCCACGGCAGGGAGACGCAGCCTGAGCCACCGGGCCTTGGAGCAGGAGGGGGCAGTTCGCCCAGCTGGGGACAGGCTGCATCAGAAGCGCAGGCTAACGAGCCCTGCCGGAAAGCTCACGTTGCAGCCTGGCACCAGGAGCCTCCCCATGAGCTCTCCTCTGCCGATTACAAAGTTGGTGCTGGAGGCACCTGGCCTGAGAGAGAAGACAGAAGCGAGGGCTGAAGTGCCCCAACCGCAGAGCTGTCATTGCTTCTCCCCCACAAAGCTGGGGTTCAAGGCCCTGGCTGCTGCGCGCCAGCAGGGATGGTAGAGCTGGTGACAGGAGGTGTCTCCTCACCCCCCAGGGAACCAGCCCCCTGAGCTGCCACAGCTTTTTAAATACAACTGCCTCCGTTTTCAGCCTACCTTGAGATGCCGAGGCAGCGCTCCATACCCAATTGGCGTGGAGCTCAGCTCTGCCCTACAGCAGAGTGTCTGCTCCCAGCCGGAGGCAGGAGCCTCGCTCCCCAGGGACGAGGGCAGACATCTGAGCACCGTGTCGCTGCCTCCTTGGCATCTGCAGGCAGTCTGGTCCTCAGGGGTCCCTGACCCGGTTGCACCCCATTCCCAGGGACAGAGCCCCAGGCTGACCCCCCTCCGCCCCCATCACCACTTCAACCCACAGCCCGGACAGAGAGCGCAGCTGAGCTACGCTGATTCAGCCGACGGGCGGACGGACGGACGGATGCACTGTGCTCTGCCCTAGAAGTGGGAACTGCTCCATGCTCAGGTCAGCTGGGTGGAGACTCTCTGTATTTTCAGAGAGGCTCATTCAGGCCAGAGGACACATGCGGCAAAGCACTCACCTGAGCAGATGGGGCACATGCCCATCTCCCCTTGACCGCTCTCCTCTCTGCTGTCACCAGTCCTGGCCACTTTTCCTTTGCGGCTCCGGGCTCTGGCTCTTCCTCCTGACCTGGACTGCCTCGAGGGAACTGGCGGAGACCTGCGCAGAAGTGTTGCAAGAGGCATTGTAACTGCACACGCACGCTCTGCTGTGTCCTGCCCGTCCAAGGCAGCCAGCCACACACAGAGACCAGGAGAGGGAGCCAAGAGATGAGGTAGGACACCAAAAGGCAGAGAAAAGCCATGCACTGGCTGTATGGTTTACCCTCAGGCTCAGGGAAGGAGCTGCCTTTGAAAGACTGGAAAGAGGGAAATCACAGGGATGGGGGCAGGAGAAACGCAGTGACCTGAGAGGTTACCTGCCCGCTGGGCTCCGAGCTCTCTGCCTCTTCTCTGGTATCCTGCGGGCTCTCTTCGGGGCTGCAGGCACAGCCTGCGCAGACCCTGGAGGACAAAGGACAAACAATAATCCTTCCTTCCCATACGGCACTGCGAGATCTCCTGGTGGAAGGGGCCATGTAAGAATTAAACAAGCTGCATTCACAGACCTCTGTCCACTGGTGGGGAAACGCCAATGTGACACGAAGTAACGACGCACTGGGAACTTCTTCACTAACCTGACACGGCTTCTCAAAACCCTAGTCCTGTAGTGCCCTCTCCGTTATGCCAGGCTGCATTGGCACCCCGAGCTAGTAAGAATTAAGTTGTTGGTCCCCAATAACAGGATGGTTAAGTGGAAAACGGTAGAGAAATGACAGCTGGAAACAGCTCCTACAAAACTGGGGGGTGGGGGGCAGGGGGGCAAAGAATGCAATGGCTTTAACCTCCCCAGGGGGTGAAGTGGTCAGGAGAGACAGGTCCAAGCCAACAGCCCTTACAGTGAGAGCCCCACAGCGTGGGCTCTGACACATGGGACGTGGCAGCCTCCAGCCACCCTGGAGGTGGCCTTGGCAGGAAAAATAGTTACGAGATCACAGGAGGCTCCTTGCTGAGCTGTGGGACCTACCATCAAGTTGACTTCTCTCATGCCAGCAGGGAGGTGACTCCTTGGCACAGTTTCAGGGGGCATATACCAACTGTGGAGAGGTTCTTTGGGCTGCAATATTCTCCTCACAGTCTCAAGAGTCCCCAGCAGTTCTCACTCACCTGATGCTGCAGGGCCTCCGGGGTCTTCTGCTGGCAGCTCCTGGTTGCTCCCCAAGGAGCCTCTGCTGGCTCTGGGCTTCAGAGCCTGGCTTTGAGCTGCTGACAGCACCCTCCTGGCCGGCCGGCTGAGGCGGGCTAGGCTCCCCGCATGGGACTCAGACGCTCGGGAGGCGGCTCTTCAGCTGCTCCTCTTCCCTAGTGCCCCTGGATACAGACACTCCGTCAGCACCCACCATCCCAGCACCATCCTGGCCAAGAGGATGCTCACGAGGGTTTGCCAGGAGCTGGAGGCAAAGAGAAATCCAGCTGGCAGGAATGAGGACTTCAGGTAGCCTGGGGCTCAGAGAACAGACTAGACAGCATCTCTGGGTGACTTCAGGCCTGGCTACACGGGGAGAGGATGGTCAAAGCCACGCGAGAGGGGAACCACAGCTCAGAGGTGCCCTAGGCCAGTTCTTCCCCAGGTCGCTGCAGGAGTGTCAGGCCTTTGGCTTCATAGGGAGCTTCCCAGCAAGCCTCAGCTGGCAGAGCAGGCCCTGCACTCACAAAGCGACCGCTCCTACGGCCCGGCCAGCTGGGATAAACGATCGCGAGGGACCAAACTGTGTGAGCGGGCAGGGGCAGAAGGGCACAGCGCACGCACTTGGGGAGAAGGGGCGAGGATAGAGACTAGTTGGAGAAGCCAAACAAGCAACATCTGGGCATCGACTGCCCCCTGGGCCCTGGTGCGAACATAGCCTGTCCTGGACAGAGGGACAGCCCAGCTCATGTGCCATCCAGCCAAGGCCAAGTCACCTCTCCCCTCGCCCCTGCAAAGCAACCGCAGAGCAGGCTACTTACACCTGTGGTTCTGGAAAGAAAGTCCGGCAAAAGGCAGGGTTGGAGTGCCAGGGGGAGGCTGCAGACTCAGGATCCTCCTGCAGGAGATGATTTTTCCTAGGAGATCTGCACTCCTTGCCCCACACCCCACATGCAGAGACCACCCCAGCTCCAGCCAGGCTGTCACTCTCAGGCAGGACAGGGCTGTCCCCTCCTGCACACTCATCACTTCTGATCTCAAAACTGCTCAGCAACAAGAGACTGAAGGAAATGATATCCCACAGAACCGGGCCCTGTGGTGCTGGGCACTTGCACAAAGATGGCAGGACTCCAGTGTGACAAGGTCCTTGTCAAAACCACACTATCAGAAATGGCCAGCACAGGGGAGCCTAATGCACGCAGGCCACTCTACGCCGTCACTTTGGGCTCAAGACCACACTTACTCCCAGTCCTCTACAGAGCTGGACTGCCTGGTCCCATGATCCACAGGGCAAGAACAGCAGCACCGAAAGAAAAGACACCATTACTGCTACCTCACTGTGGAAAAGAGCACAAGAAGCCCCAAGAGGCACCCACCAGCCCTTGCTGCGAAGGTGGGGGTGGCTGGCTGTGGTCGGCGTCCAGCGGGGTGCGCACCCGGACGAAGGAGAGCCCGAACTGGCTGTGCTTGCTGAAGGGCTGGCTGCAGATGAGCCGCAGGCGGTCCCACTTCTGGCCCGCCGCCGGCGCCAGGAAATCTGCTGCAGAGGCAACGGGGCAGAGCTGGGGTCAATGACTGCAACTGCCTGGGGACCAGGCAGGATCAGGCCTGCCAGGGCCAGGCAGTCTGGAGCTCTCCTTCTTGGCACCGCTTTCCAGAGCCCCGTTCCCACCTCCACGCATCGCTCGAAGCCACCATCCTGCCTCCAGGACCAGGACACGGTGACAAGCATGGGACTACAGACACGGGAGGAGCTGGGGGAGGGGAGCAGACCTGACAAAACCCTCCTGAGGCTGCACAGTTAATAGGGCAGCCCAAATCCCTGGCAGGAAGCTGGTTCTAATGCCAGTAACCTGCTGCATGCTGCCACCAAAGCCGCCTGCTCTCCTCTGGTCTCCCCATCCCCTTCTGCAATCCCACAGCCAGCCCCACAGCCTCTGCTCTGCCCTGGGCCCCACCACCCCGCCTGTTTGCTCAGGCCGGATGATCTTTACCTTCTTTAAACATCCGGACGCCGCAGCGGTTCCTGTCCAGCTTTGAGTCAGCTGGCGTCATCAGCGTGACGCTGGGCAGCAGGGTGACGTAAGGCTGGTTGAGCGGCCAGGAGGAACGCCCCACGTCGATCTGGAGAAAGGCGCAGCCGCAGTTCCCTACGTTAAGGTGGGACAGAGGTGAAGTTCAGGGCTCCTGACCCCTGCCAGGGCGCAGTCCTGCCTGAGCCAGCAGGGAGGGCGGTGACCGCTACGGTGACTGCTCACATCCCCTCCACTCCTCACAGCAATCTCTACCCATAAGACAAGCAAGCCTGAGGGCAAGCTGTCCCCTGCCCCACGCCTGACTCCTCGCCTCCCAAGGACCAGGCGGCCGTCTCCCCACTCGCGTACCCACGTCTATGTAGCCGATGGGACTGGCTCTCTCCAGCTGCAGCTCCGCTTTCAGCTGCCTGCTCTGGTCCTGAGGGCAGCTGAGCCAGGGGCGAAGGCCGTCATCCCGCAGCAAGTTCTCCACCGGGTACCTGGGGTCCTGCACCACAAGAGCAGGAGACACCATATCCTTTCTCAGCTCCTTCTTTGGCCACCTTTCCCCTTGCACCTCTCTATAGTTCACTGTCTTGGGGAGAAACGTAAGGCTCTTGGACAACACACAAAAACAGTGCTCCTCTTTTGGAGTGGAAGAATCACGTGTAACGAGCTCTTCCGCAGGTCACCCCTTCACCCGGTACCTAACAAGCAGCGCCATGCAACTGCGTCACTCTACGCCCAGCACAGAGACGACCGTCCCTCTCCAGACATCTTAGCAGCTTGAATGGGAAACCTGGGATTTACAGTCCTGCCCACCCAGCGCCATTTGAAGGGATGCTAAGAAAATGAAGAAGCGTGCGAGTGACCTGTGAGGAGAAGGACACGACGTAGGTAATTGTCACTGGAGCCATCTGGAAGCCTTTGGAAATAACTCCCTGTTGCGGTGGGGCTCCCTTCGGGTCCGCGGCGCAGCCCTCTCAGCTCGCTCTGCGCAGCTGGCGGGGAAAGACGGGGCGCAGGTCCGCGAGGAGACGACGCGTCCCCAGGGCCTGCGCGGGCGAGCTGACGGC